TTCACCTCCTATCAAATATTAAAGTATACCATTAATTTATATACACATACATTCACTAACCTCATCAATTGCATGTTCATCATACACAGTATAGTAACCAATAGTTAAACTAATCAATCCCATCTCCTTTAGCATATCAACGTTATCTCTAGCTGTCACTAGTAAACTCTCCATCAGATAATGAGGAGCATAACAAGTAACAATGATGGAGTTCCCTTCCTTGATCACTACCACCTCCACTTGATTATCCTTGAACGTTTTCCATAGGAGGGCTTTGATATTGGAGAAAGAATGGTCATCTGGATTCCATTTCAAAACAAATTTGATCGTCTCACAAGTGAGGAGAGAAAAGGATAATTTTTTAAGCTGATGATCACAAAACATTGTTAATTTGTTCTTGCAGAATTCATCCAAGTGTGTCTGATAAGCTAATATCATGTCTCCAGCATCTTGTATTGAGTATTTGTTCACTATAGTCTCCAATAGAGCAACGTTAGTGATAGAACACTCATCCTCAATCACTTCCATTACATCATCAAAGCTATTGGCATCTTTCAATCGAAGCTTTAATTTTTTCTGGCACCTTCCAATGTATGTCTTCAAATCATCCACAGATGGTATGGCTGCTTTAATGAGTGGAATAGTATTGTGAATAAGTGTACCAAGCTTATGATCCATTCTATCAAACTCAGCTTTATCGTCAGGGTAAAGTATGATGGTCTCCACTACATATAGTGTAAAGACATTGATTTGGGTATAATTAATGTTACTAACCTTGTTCAGTAACATCAGTATTGATAGTTGCTTGATTCTCACTACTACTATCTTGTAATTGTCCAGATCCTGTATTTATTATAATAGTCAATGTATATATATTATATTATATCATTACTTGAAGATGTTGAAGTACTTGCTTGTTGACAAGATGGCATCACTGTTACTGCTGAAGGAAATGACTTTCCTTTTGTATTATCAATATAAGTTAAGTGTATTTATAAAACTTTTCATTTACCATATTCCATTATTATATCACTAGTTAAAGACACTGCTTCCTTTGATTTCATTAGAATGCTTGTCAGAGTACATAACTTGCTATGATCTTCAGCTACAGCACTTAATATTAGTAACATTGGATCTCCTACCAATGAACAACCGCAACTCTTCACTTCTGTTAATGTATCCTTAGATATCAATCCCTCTGTATGTAAGAGATCAACTGATTCCTCAGTAAGAACAACTTGAGCTAGTCTACCAATATAACACTGCAATATCTCACTAACAGGATCTGCCACTAAATAAAAGATATAAATGCTAAAACACAGTAATAACATTATTACTTATTTTGCGAATATCAGTAGAAATGGATATTAGATTCAT